AGGCAATTTTTTATTCACCATTTGTTGTATTTAGTCGCCTTGTATCCAGTGCTGGCCCTTAATTGTGACTTATATTTCTGTACATTTTTAACTTGTGTAATTCTGTAAAAATTAATGAAAAAGGACAAAACTTTTTATTTTCATGTTACATCTAAAGTTATTCTTCACTATCAAACTTGCTATTTTGAAATATTGACTTGAAACTCACCACTACTCCTTCATTAAAGACTTTTTGTTTGAAAATCTTGTTTTGCATTGCTTGTAGAAGAAATGGGAGACTTTAATCCATAATTCAACTAATACTGGTAGTATTTTTCCTCAATAATCTAGCTGCTGAGAGTTAGGTGCTGTATACACATCGATTTTCTTTATTAGATGGTGTGTGTATATTTAATAATATGTAGTTTAATATATAATTTAATAAATGGTATATTTATCTCTGGAAACAGTTTCCGTTTACTATAAATTGTGTCAGAAAACTGTGTGCTCAAACTGCTATAATTTTAAAAAAAACTCATTATCGAATATTTTAGTAATGGCATTATTTTTACCAAGGGTGTACAACAGTGCATAAATGTTCTGGAAAATTCCCTGACTGATCTGGTAATTTAAACTTATAAAATTTAGCAGAGGTTGGAAATTCTATTTCCATGAACATAATAAAACACTTTTATATGAGAATGTGTGTAATTATGGACATAGCATCAAAATTATTACATTTCCTATAAACCCTGAATATTTTAATTTATTACATTTTGTTTACATGGAATTTTCATTGAAGTAATCTAATCCTTATGATAGATTTGACAGTTATTAATTTGTAATGCTTGCAAATTTATTGCTTTTTGTATGTGTTCATAATCAATTGTTTATTTTTCTTTTTAACTGCAACTTGTATTTTTTATGTCTGTTCCAAGGAATTTGAAGATCAGTTGCTAATAGTAAGTATGAAATTTTATTTTATTTTAAAATTACTTTTAAAACTGGTTTCCGTTACTAATGAACTTTTTATGTTGTTTCAGATAAGAAAAAACATGGTAGACAGAAGAATAGGTTGGGGGAAAATGGCTGTGAAAATTCCAATTGAAGGCTTTGTAAGTAGTTCTCCTTAATTAATTGTCAATTAAATTTGAAATTTTTTATGACATCAAGTAACCAGAGAAGTTTTGTAACTTTTTTTTTATGTCACTCAATTTTTTTGGTGTCGTAGTTACTTAGTTTCAACATTTTTCCCAGTTTTTATTGGTGTGCTCAAATTGTTTCCTCCGAAAAGTTTCAGAGAAACCCTTTTTCTTCTTACAACCACTTAAGACTGGGAGGAATTTGAGATACCTATATGTAGTATTTTATGTTAAATTATAATGTTTTTTACTTCACGATTTCTTTGTGTATTAAAAAGACCACAATAAATTTTATAAAGTAATAGAAGTTAAAATAATATTATTAAAATGTTTAAATGGCCTGAAATGAGCATACATAAAGAGGCATACAAAACTACTCCTGTGCAAAAACTATCAGGTGCCCAGTCCTTATCTATACATCTGAAACTTGGACTGTTTCGAAGAAAAAAGCTAATTTTAACCATTTGTGAAAAAAATCTTGCAAACCATTTTTGGCAGAGTCAAAGAGAATAGAAAAAGATTTCTATAGAAAAAAATCAGACACAGAAATTTTCATAATTTATGAGGACATAGATATAATAATAAAATTAAACAATGAGATTTGCTGGGCACACTTGTTTAGATACAACTAATCCAACTCATAAGATATTCTTACACAAACCAGTTGTTAGTGAAGCTAGAGGGCATCCAAAACTGAATGACTCAATCATTGGGTTTTTAAAATAATCAGCATTTTGAACTGGTAAGATTTGGTGACAAGAAGAATGACATGGAGAAATCTTCTAGAGAAGACTATGTCCCACCCTGGGCTGTCGTGCCAATGATGATGATGTCATTAACTAAAACTTCTTAAGGGGAAAATGTAGCCAGTCCAAGTGTATTGAAAATAGCTCAACTCAAACTAGTGCTTACAAACAGACTCGTTTATAGGTGAGTTCAAACTCACTTTTGGAGATTAATCCCAAAATCTTTTGATTTGAGCAAAAGATTTGATAAGTAAAAACACTGAGAATTTCTTAAAAGCTATTTAAAAGGCCAATATTTGCTAACATATAAAATACGTTATTTAAAATTAAATATTTTCAGGTCATGATATTAAAAATTTCTAAATTCTTAATAATTTCTGTATATATTTTATACCAAATAACTTAACTAAAAAGATTCTTGTATGTTTTTTTTTTAATTTTTTTTTATTTTATTTTATTTATTTATTTATCTATTTATTTATTTTTTTATTTTATTTTATTATTTTTTTTTTTTGAGGGTAGAAAAAAAAATATATTTAAATTTTATAGTAAGTTCTCCATCAGTTTCTGAAAAAAAAAATTTGTTGCAATGCTGGTATTGGGGTTTGGTTGAGCCGGTCTCGTCTGTAATGCATGCAAGTAATGTTATTTGCAATTTGCCTCATCTAAAAGAAACTAAAGTTTTCTAGTTACTTGTCAATTTCTAAGGAACTGTTTACATTTTATTCTGTCACAGATTTACTTGATAGAGAAAAAAATTAAAGTAAATTATAATTTTTTATTAACATGAATTTTTTTATTAAAGTATTATTCATAACCATATATAATTATTATTAAAAAAATTATAAATAAAATATTGATAACACATAATGTATTATTTTTCCCAATAGGTTTCATAAATTAAATTTTTGCTTTCTTTTAATTTGTGATAATGAAGTAATTTAATATGATCTTAGAATTATCTTGCTATTTAGCAATCGATTTAGATTTTAATATAATTCATCTTTATGAATTTTTCTTGCCTTTATTACTGCTTTTGTTTATTATACAAATAATTTTGCTGTTTCCTTGGGTTTTTTGCTTTGTTACTTATTTTAATGTTCTTTTTTTTTATCTGGAGCAGAAAAGAATTGTTACTCGGAATAATTCTTACTACTATGGACCTATTGATGACACTCCTTTTTCGTAAGTGTTTGAGTCTTCCTTCTTATTATCTCCAGAAATAGTTATTGTCTAGTTTCTATGTTATTATGTTGATCATATTTTATTAATATTGTTTATTTTCCTTTAAACTCTTCTATAGTAAATGTTAGCATACTTACCTTTATGTTAATTTCTTCAAAAGTATTTTATTGTAATTATGATTATAATTTAAGAAGTAGTGTAGAATGTCAAAGCGATTCTCCTGGGTAGAGAACTGTAGCCAGATCACTCAGAAGCTTTATTTTCCTTGGCGCTGTAGCTCTAAATTTCCCCCATTGTGCTACTGCTATCACAACACCCCCCAGTTTCAACCTTCTGGCCACTGCCTAGTTTTCTTAAATTACTTTTCCCATTGTGCCTAGTACCTACCATTTAACTGTAATGGTAAATCTTAACAAGCTCGAATACCTGGATCGACGCGCATTCCATTGTCGATCGTGCTCGAAGTAAGATTTGACTTAGACTTAAATTTATGCAGCCTAATTAATTCAGATAAGTTAATCACTTTTACATATAATATGAAATAAATTGATTATTGAGTGTGTGTAGAGGGTAACAGGTGCTTTATCTCAGGCTCCCTCTGCCACAATGTGTTTGTGAACATTCTAATGTCTCTTCCGAAAAAATTATAAAAATTGAAGGAATTGTTTTTAAATAAAGTAAATTGCCTGTAAACGAATCTATTCTCCTTCATCTCTACCCATGCAAAGAGCATCTCAACATGGAAGTAAGAGTTGACTCCTAGTCGATCCTTCTGTGTTCTTTTTTATGATAAAGCCCCCTGTCTTTTGGGATTTTTTAGCCAATAATGGCTTCCTCGCCAATGATCCTTTTTGTTTGAATAAAAGCAGTGACAGCTCAATCATACTCATGCATCAAGGTTTCAGCAATTTCATTGTATATTACAGACATTCATGACCATTGCCTGTTACCCAAGTTGTGGAAGAAAAACTACTCTTGTAATTTAATGATTTAAGATCAGTTATAAAGGATGGTGGTTTATTAGATTCAATGCTTTTCTTAAGAATGAACAACTAACTTAACTGGGAATTATATTAAATTTATATCTTAAGTATGAGCTGATGATTACATTATTTTGTTTTTCTTTGTAATAAAACTTTCAAATTAAAATCTGAAACTAAAAAGCATGCATAAAATCATAAATATATATTAAAGTTGTAGGGCCTTAGCGGAGCCAAAGCATTGAAATTTTTTCTGCTATGTGTCCCTTTCGTAGAGATTGATGAGTGTTAGGAAGCCGGAGGTAGAGTCTTTTACTGTATCTGATGCCCCTATATCTATACTAAGAGTTCCATTCTACAAACTCTTCACAATTTTTTTACTCGTTTATTGTAATGAAAAATTTTATTGTATTATATCTTAGTATTTATTATATCTTAGGCACAACATTTAGCAGGTCCCTAAAATATTCTCTTTCTCTACTGTCCCTTAGAAAATAAATCATTTTGGACCCAAGATTTTTGCCACTATTATCAAGATAAATATGGATATTTCTCTTTTTCAAATTCCAGTCCTTAAAACTAACAGCTTAACCATTTTATCGGCTTTTATTCTTCAAATTTCATCATTCTCACTCATAGAAGTATAGAATTTTGTCTGCTGGGACTTGTTCAAATAATCATCTAAAGATATAAAAATAAAACTTATTTTCTAATTCTATAAATTTTAACTGAGAGTAAAAGCTCAAATACCTGGAATATGCAGGAGAGATTTTTATTTCTGATATTTGAGCACCAAAAATTTTGGTTTTCTGCATCACTTTATTTTCTGGAGAAAAGAAACCCTTTATCGGTATTAGCAATTTTAACAATAATGACAAAATGCTAGTTGTTCATGAACGTTATTTAAAGTAAATACGAAAAATTTAATTACCAATTGGAAAAAACAAAACAGAAATTTTTTTTAAAATTCTTAACTTCTACTTTGTTACTATATCTTTCATACTGAAAATTCATATTACTGTTATTACTTATCAAAGTGTTGACAAAACACATTTATTTTATTGTATCTTACAGATTAGCTGTTTCTTTGCCTGAACCTTATGGCCATTATAGAGTAATCGGAAAAGTTGAAGTAAAAAGGAAAGAAGAAGATTGTAAGTGTAACTTTTTGTTGCCAAAATTATATTTTATTATATAATTCTTCAATTTTTGAAAACATTAAACCATTTAGATTTTAGGGTTTAAACATTTAGATTTTAAAATATTTGGATTTTAATTCAATTTTAGGATGTAGGATTTTAGGATATTCTATCAAAATATAAACCTATGTACATATAAGAAGCAAAAATCCAGTTATAGTCTATAAACATTTAGGTAATTTGATGATATTAATAAATTTAATGTTTGCTGCGAGGGAAGAAAATGTCATTTTCTGTCTATGCACTTTAAGAATAATATTTATAGCATTGATTAAAACAGCTTTATATTGTACTTTAACTTTTTTATTATTCTTGTGCTACTTTTAATAATGGAAAAAAAAACTTTCTTTATAATTACAAATGCATCAGCAAGTTTTACATATAGGATATTTCTTCAAATTTATGTATCTATCTCTGTTGAATTATGATCAAAATTATGAAATATTTGCACCGTTGAAAGAATTTAAAACGATCCCAACATGAGCTGCCTTGGATAAAAAGTATGATTAACATAAATAATTCATTTTTTGATTAGTTGTTCTCTTTCAAATGTTAAAACTTAATATTCTATTAAACTTCGCATGACCTAATAAGAATTCGTTTGTTATTTATTGAATACCTATTAGATTGTTGCAATAATTTCCTTCCTAAGCTGTAATTCACTGAAGAAGTTTGTTCATTATATTTTTACTACTATTTTATTAAAATTATGATTTCAAATTTCTTTAATGTGCACAATCCTGCTGGTAGAAAGCTTTTTATGACTTGCATGCAGAAGAAAGAAAGTTATAATTAATCATAGAGATTATTCGTTTGTAGGAGTAATGTTTGGAGATTTGCTATTATTTTAACTCATTACTGTTTTAAAATAACTTTCCATGAGTAAAGAAAAGGTTCTAAGTTTTTTATAGTCCTTTTCTTCATGCTTTATATTTATTTATGTGTAGAAAATCAAAACTAATGCAAAATTCTTCTACTTTTTTTTTATTTCTTCATAATTTAATTTTTTTAATTAAAATTTTCATTTCAAATCATTCTTGTATTATTATTTTGTTTGTTTATATTGCTAATCAGTATTGAATTCTTTCTTTTTACTTTTAATTTGTTTGACCATTCACATAAATTATTTTCTTCTTTGTTTTAGGGATGGACTATTTTCGTGGTGATAACTGGCGAGTCCATCCTGATTGGTAAGTATCTAGATTCAAACTAAAATTAGCATGCTAATACTACTGATTTTTTTATTATTATTACTTTCTCTCTGTTTATTAAGTCATTGTGAATAAACTTCCCAAATGCATGAATCCCTTAAACTTTTTAGAAATATGTTTTGAAATTCTTCATGCATTTTAAATTAATGCATTAACTCTGCCTATGAATCTTTTATAAGGGTACAAAAATATTTTTAATTTTAATCATATACTATATCATTGTTTATAAATTTGTGCATTTTGAAGAAAAATTCAATTGATACTTAGATGTTCTTCATTTCTTTGAAAATTACAATAGACTAAGCTCTAACTATTGCATTTTTATTAATGTTTTATTGAGCAATTTTCATTTTTAATAATGTTTTAATTCAATAATTTTAACCAATCAATTTTTAGGCTAAATTGTTTTAGTTAAATTTAAGAAAGTAAAAGGATGATAAGTATCTAATGCACAGCTCTATACTTTGCAAAAGTTTTTATTAATTAACAAGGGGTTGCAAACCCTGCTCACCATTGTTCTTCAACCCATGCATGACCTGCACTAAGTATTTGCCACCTCACCAATTGCGATGAAATCGTGAATTTGGTGAATTAAATTGTGTTTTGGCAAATTATTTTTTCCACTGGAAAGAAAAATGTATATTTAACTCTGTCCTCAAAATGAATTTTTCTAAACAAATCAATATTTTTATTCCATTGCGGTAATTTTCGGGGATGCGCAACATAACCAATTAGAATTGGGTCCAAATAATGTAAGCTTAAAACAAATTGCCGTAAAATAGTTTTCTATGACAGAAAAAAAATGAATCATAAAAATTTGTTAAGATTTGCATTAGACAAATTTGCCGGCTAATAATTTAAAATCTTTAGCGCAGGCCCTGCCATGGTATAATTTTCTCTGTTAATTCTTTTGAATCGTGTTACAAGCTGAACTATTCTTATTCCTACAGTATTTCAAAGACCACACTCTGTCTGCAAGTGTATGCATGGAAAAAGTTATTTAAATTTTATTTATCAAGTATCTTTATTTCCTTTATGTATAAAAACATTCTGAATTGAATTTATCAAGTAGTAGTAGAAAACTGTTGTTGTAATTTTTTTAATAGCTGAAATTATTTACTAATAGTTATTATAAATATTATAGTTATTATGATCAGTTATATATAATATCATACTGATGTTTGCCTCTTAAAACTGACACTTATTGGACATCAGATATTAAAATTCCTCTCAACATGATAAAAATGTATACATTTGTGTTTGTGTGTTTTAAAATTAACAATTCGGCACTTGCAACTTATGCTTACTTGCCTTTATTTATTTATTTTGGGAATGTCACACTTTAAATTTTAAAAAATTCTATATTTCCACTTAGCAAAGGCATCAAAATTTTCTTTCATATCTGTGTTTAACACTGGATAGCCTAAGGAAGTCATTTTGACTGCTTTTAATTTCAATTAGAAAAACAATGATGTATATAATGACACAATTCCTTAGAATTTTGTATAACATATAATTTTTTTTGTTAATATTTACGGATAACTTGTAATATGACTGTAATATAAAAAATATTAAATATTAATTTTAAACAAATTTTTTTACACATTATTTATTCTTTTACAATCCAGTCCTTTTAATTGCTTTTGGGCAATATAGGTATATACTAAGTTTCCGTCTTTCTAGTGTTAATTTTGTTTAACTGAGATATCCAAAATATAAGTTTGAAAATGACTATTGCAAGTCAATGAAATGTTTTACATTTACTTCTGTCTTGCTTGCATATTTCAATCATCTGTATTTTACTGGTTTCTTAACTGAATGAAAAAGCTCATAATTCCACACATTTAGACTTGAAAAATTTATTCAAAAATTGTCATTTGTGTTGCAATAAATAGTTGCAAAAACTGAATTATTCTATAACTTTTGGTCCTGATCCTCAAACTACATTAAGTCATTGCTATTTAACTTAGTGCTCGCAATCAAGAATTATTCGTGTTTCGTTTTTTGAGGCATTGCTGTGGCCAACAGAAAGAAACAAATCCATCCCTTTTTTTAGGGTTATGTTAGCCTTTTATGCATACAAAGTATTCATTTATAACTGTATCTTTGCTATAATTCTGTATTTTTTTACTCTTAGTTTTCTACTATTTACCATTTTTTCATTATGTAATACATTTTTGTTAATTTCTGTTTATATTAGGGTATATTGTGAAAACCCCCAAAAAGAGGATGATGGTTATACATCTGCTGAAGACAGTATTAGAACGTTTTTAACTGATTCTCTTGCTAATCAAAATTTTAGATGGAGAACAAGCAGCACTCGTCCCCCAATATTTGACAAACCAATATGTGAGTGTATACATTTTTCAATATTCATTTGATTTCGCAGGTATTAATTACTTATTTGTTTTAATAAAACAATTTGTTTTCACTGAAAACTTTTTTAAATTCTTAGTTTCTTTGCAATTAAATCTTTATGTATCAATATTACATTGAAAATTTCTCTTTTTGAACCCATTCTTATTTTATATTTATTTGATTTTGTAGATATTAAATAATTATTTGTTTTAATAAAACAATTTGCTTTAACTGAAAACTTTTGTAAATTTTTGGTTTCTTTGCAATTAAATCTATATGTATCAATGTAACAATTGATACATAATATTGATTTATTTGAGCAATAAGCATTCAGTTACATAGTGCAATTTAACAGTTGTAAAATTTCTCTTTTCGAACACATTCTTACTTTATTTTTATTTGATTTTGTAGATATTAAATAATTATTTGTTTTAAGACATAAAAACAAAATCAAGAACAAACTAATGTCTTGAGTACAGACATTTATATAATTTAAGTAATCACTTCAAGAAATTTAAGACATAATTAATTCAACTAGATAACTGGTTCTTAAACAGGTTAAATTTAAAAAACGCTAGCTTAGTAAATACTTTCAGTTATTTGTAGAATCAATAAAAACCAAAGTTTTGAAAAAAAATGTCTGACTTATTCCATTCTTGCATCAGGTTTTCGCATTGATACAGATATTATATTTAAATCGATGTATGCAAAAAGAGCTTCAAACTTGAAAAACTGTTTTCTGATTTTCCTGTTAGGGTAAAAAGTCAGTCATTATAATGTCTCTTCTTTTCTTACAAAGCAGATAGGAAAAAAGGTTTGAAGCAGATAGGAAAAAAGGGACACGACTCTTGTTATTTTCTTTCAAATCAGTCTCATTTTAAAATACCTAACAAGTTTATCATCTTGTTTCCTCATGTGTTGTTGAAAGAAGTGGGGGTTTTAAATAGCTATTGCTAGAACTCTTTTGATAATTGCACAAAATGATGTTGGTTTCAGCTCTTCTCCACTACATTAAAAAACAATTTGTTTGAAGTCCCCACATATTTTAAATCTTTACTTTTTTTCTCATTACATTTACCGATTTTTTATTAGTCTAATGCAGCATTCAAGCAAAGGTAATATTATTAGGAAACACTTCAGATTTTACCCTTGTTGTTTTTGGAATTGTGTGCGGAAGTTGAACAATGATCCGCTGATCTAGTATGTTCTCTGACTTAACTAATTTACCTATTCTAAAGATACTAGCTAGGCTAAACCTTTTTGTTCACCAATATTTTACAGTCATCAAAAATCTGAACAATTTTTAAAATTTTAACAAATGTAGTATGAAGAACTTAATTAAACCATGGTTATTTACAATAATAATAAATTAAAATAAGGTGGTCATATGGTTTCAATGTTTCAAAAACAATGGTTTGCTTAGTGAAAAATGAGTAACTGTGCATTTTTTATTCTGAGGAAAAATAATGGCATTAATTTCAAAACCAGGTGCCGCTGGATTGGCGAACGATAATCTATATAGTTTAATTATGTGGCTATATTAGATTAGAGTATGTACTTTAATTTCAAGTTCAACAATTTAGAAGGTACTTACTCACCAAATATTTGATTGGTGATGGCGAGCTGGGGAATGAAAATTTTGCACCCTGCTATATATCCATAATATCTTTTTAGTATTATAGTGATAAAAAGTTATTGACACAAGAGCTTCACTAAACGAAGCTACTGTAAGAGCCCACTAACCAGAAACTAAATTGTACAATGTTTACAAACTGTTAATGCAACTCTTAACTGCTATTATGACATCATAAAAACTCCTGATGGCACCAGATTTGTCTGTTTAGTAGCTCTTGTTTTGTTTTTATTGTTTAATACTATATTGTTCTGTAGTTAATTCATTTTAAATAGAAATGTTGGGTCAGTTGTTTTCTTTGACCACTGGTCAACAAAGCGAAAAAGTGTAGATTATAGTTTTAGAATTATTAATACATGTATATAAATTAATTATTTTATTTTAATGACTTAAAAAATCGGTTACTACAATCAGTTTTGAAAACCTTTTGCATGGGCACCCTCTCCAAATTCAATTAATTAAAAAAATTATATTTTGCCTTATTATATTTTATTAGTTTTAAATGTTCGAAAATTAATTAGGTTTTTTAGAAAATTAAAAACAGTTCATGTTATATTGAAACTATTCTGGTTTGACTGCAAATGTTACACTGACACAATGGAAACTGACTGCAAATGTTACATTTTTAAATTTATATCTTTAAAATTAACTATTATACCTGCATTGATAGTTAAAATGATGAATGGATATATTTTTTTCTAATTGGAAGAT